CTCACCCACCCACCCACTCGCCCACCCACCCACTCACCCACTCACCCACCCACTCACCCACTCACCCGAATGGTGAATTCCCCCACATTCAGGTCTGTGAGCAGCTCGTTGATGACTCTGATGCACTCCGCGTCTGGAACCATCGCCTCGTAGTGGCCAGCAATGTCAAAGTCCTGCAACACACAGACACACTCACCCGCTCACTCGCCCACTCACTCATCCACTCACTCACCCGCTCACTCACCCCGCTCACTCGCACGCTCACTCACCCACTCACCCACACACTCACCCACACACTCACCCCGCTCACTCGCACGCTCACTCACCCGCTCACCCACACACTCACCCACACACTCACCCCGCTCACTCGCTCGCACGCTCACTCGCACACTCACCCACACACTCACCCACTCACCCACCCGCTCACTCGCTCGCACGCTCACTCGCACACTCACCCACACACTCACCCACACACTCACCCCGCTCACTCGCTCGCACGCTCACTCGCACACTCACCCACACACTCACCCACTCACCCACACACTCACCCACTCACCCACCCGCTCACTCGCCCGTTCACCCACACACTCACTCACCCACACACTCACTCACTCACTCACTCTCCCTTTCACTCACCCGCTCACTCGCACGCTCACTCACCCACTCACTCACCCACCCACTCACTCACTCACCCACTCACTCACTAACCCACACACTCACCCGCTCACTCGCCCGCTCACTCACCCAATCACTCATCCGCTCACTCACCCGCTCACCCACACACTCACCCAAACACTCACCCACACACTCACCCACACACTCACCCACACACTCACCCACACACTCACTCTCCCGTTCACCCACACACTCACTCGCCCGCTTGCCCGCTCACTCGTCCACTCACTTGTCCGCTCACTCACCCACACGCTCGCCCGCTCACTCGCCCGCTCACTCGTCCGCTCAATCACCCACACGCTCGCTCACTCGTCCGCTCACTCACCCGTTTACTCGTCCACTCACTAGCACACTCACTCGCACACTCACCCGCTCACTCACTCGCACGCTCACCCACACACTGACCCACGCACCCACTCACTCGCCCGCTCACTCGTCCACTCACTCGTCCACTCACTCGAATGCTCACTCACCCGCTCACCCACACACACGCTCGCCCGCTCACTCGTCCGCTCACTCACCCACACGCTCGCCCGCTCACTCGCCCGCTCACTCGCCCACTCACCCGCACACTCACCCGCACACTCACCCACACACTCACCCCGCTCACTCGCCCGCTCACTCGTCCACTCACTCGCAAGCTCACTCGAATGCTCACTCACCCGCTCACCCACACACACGCTCGCCCGCTCACTCGTCCGCTTACTCACCCACACACTCACCCCGCTCACTCGTCCGCTCACCACGCTCACTCGCCCGCTCACTCGAATGCTCACTCACCCGCTCACCCACACACACGCTCACCCGCTCACTCGTCCGCTCACTCACCCACTCACTCGCCCGCTCACTCGCCCGCTCACTCGCCCACTCCATAGGTTGGCAGACGTGGTGGTTGAGGTGGTGGGTGAAGTGGCGAGGTGGACGTGGCGAGGTGGACGCGGCGAGGTGGACGTGGCGAGGTGGACGAGGAGGTTCGTGGGCGACTCACGCACTGCCAGAACTCGCGTAGTCGCCCCTGGGCGAGCGAGGGGTTGTCCCTGCGGTAAACTCGCCCCACCTGGTAGCGCTTCATGCGGCTCACCCGGCCACTCGCCAGGTAGCGCGCAAACGGCACCTGGGGGGGGGGGGGGGTGGGGGGGGAGGGGCACGGGAGGGAGGGGGGTGAGGGAGGGGGGTGGGGCACGGGGGGAGGGGCAGGGGGGTGGGGGGAGGGGAAGGGGGTGGGGGGAGGGGCACGGGGGGGGAGGGGCACACGGGGTGGGGAGGGGGGTGGGGGGTGGGGGGTGGGGGAGGGGGGTGGGGGGTGGGGGGTGGGGGAGGGGGGTGGGGGGAGGGGGAGGGGGTGGGGGGGGTGGGGGGTGGGGTGGGGGTGGGGGGTGGGGGAGGGGGTGGGGGGAGGGGGGAGGGGGTGGGGGGTGGGGGAGGGGGGTGGGGGGAGGGGGAGGGGGTGGGGGGTGGGGGAGGGGGGTGGGGGAGGGGGGTGGGGGGTGGGGGAGGGGGGTGGGGGGGGGGAGGGGGGCGGGGGAGGGGGTGGGGGGAGGGGGAAGGGGGGTGGGGGAGGGGGGAGGGGGGGGGGTGGGGGGGAGGGGGAGGGGCACACGGGGGGGGGGGGGGTGAGGTGAGAGGGAGGGGCACACGGGGGGGGGGGGAGGGGGGGAGGGGCAGGGGGGGGGAGGGGGAGGGGCACACGGGGGGGGGAGGGGCACACGGGGGGGGTATATGATGATAATGATGGTGGTGATGGTGATGATGGTGATGGTGGTGATGGTGATGATGGTGATGATGGTGATGATGGTTGAGATGATGATGATGGTGTTGATGATGGTGGTGGTGATGATCGTGGCGATGGTCGTGGTGGTGGCCATGGTGGTGGCGATGGTGGTGGTGATGATGGTGGTGATGGTGATGATGGTGATGGTGGTGGTCACCGTGAGATCGTAGCGCAGCGCGAGGTGTTCTCCTCCCTGGTCCTGGAGCTCGTAGATGAGCCGTGCCTCCTCCCCATAGTGACCCACCAGGATGTCCTACACCACCATCATCACCATCATCACCATCATCATCACCACCATCACCACAATCACCACCATCATCACCACCGCCACCACCATCGCCACCGCCACCACCCCCATCACCACCACCACAACCGCCACCACCTCCATCACCACCACCACCACCACCACCACCGCCACCACCACCACCGCCACCACCGCCATCATTATCACCACCACCACCGCCACCACCACCACCACCACCATCACCACCACCATCACGACCACCAACACCACCGCCACCGCCACCACCACCATCACCACCATCACCACCATCACCACCATCACCATCACCACCATCACCACAACCACCACCATCACCATCACCACAACCACCACCATCACCACCATCACCATCACCACCATCACCACAACCACCACCATCACCATCACCACCATCACCACCATCACCACCATCATCATCACCACCATCACCACCATCACCACCATCACCACCACCATCATAATCACCACCATCACCACCATCACCACCATCATCACCATGACCACCACCGCCACCACCACCACCACCACCACCCCCACCACCACCCCCACCGCCACCACCACCACCACCGCCACCACCACCACCACCATCATCACCACCACCGCCACCACCACCACCACCACCGCCACCCCCACCACCACCCCCACCGCCACCACCACCACCACCGCCACCACCACCACCCCCACCACCACCCCCACCGCCACCACCACCACCACCGCCACCACCACCACCACCATCATCACCACCACCGCCACCACCGCCACCACCACCACCACCACCACCCCCACCACCACCCCCCACCGCCACCCACCACCACCACCGCCACCACCACCACCACCATCATCACCACCACCGCCACCACCACCACCCCCACCGCCACCCCCACCACCACCGCCACCATCACCACCACCGCCACCACCGCCACCGCCACCACCCCCACCACCACCCGCCACCACCACCACCACCGCCACCACCACCGCACCACCACCACCACCACCGCCACCACCCCCCCTCCCCCCCACCACCCCCACCATCACCACCACCCACCACCACCACCTCCACCCCCACCACCACCACCACCACCACCATCACCACCATCACCACCACCCCCACCACCACCACCACCACCACCGCCACGACTGCCACCACCACCACCACCGCCACCACCACCACCACCACCCCCACCACCACCGCCACCATCACCACCCCCACCACCACCACCACCACCCCCACCACCACCACCACCACCACCCCCACCACCACCGCCACCATCACCACCATCACCACCACCACCACCACCACCGCCACCATCACTACCATCATCACACCACCACCACCACCACCCCCCACCACCACCGCCACCACCGCCACCACCCCCACCACCACCGCCACCACCACCGCCACCACCACCGCCACCATCACCACCACCACCACCACCACCACCCCCACCACCATCACCACCATCACCACCACCGCCACCACCCCCACCACCACCGCCACCACCACCACCACCGCCACCACCACCGCCACCACCACCACCACCACCACCACCACCACCACCGCCACCACCCCCCCCTCCCCCCCCACCACCCCCACCATCACCACCACCACCGCCACCACCACCATCATCACCATCACCCCCACCATCATCACCACCATCACCACCACCACCACCACCATCATCACCACCATCACCACCACCGCCACCACCACCGCCACCACCACCACCACCACCTTGCGCTCCAGGAGTGGAGTGTCCATGGCCTGTGCCCCGTGCCTGCGGAAGCAGCTGATCGCCGTGTCGAGCACATGGCTCACCAGAGACATTCTGTGGGGGTCACTGTCTCTCATGCCCTGCACACACAGTGACACACACACAGTGACACACACACAGTGACACACACAGTGACACACACACACAGTGACACAGTGACACACACACAGTGACACACACAGTGACACACACAGTGACACACACACAGTTACACACACAGTGACACACACACAGTGACACACACAGTGACACACACAGTGACACACACACAGTGACACAGTGACACACACACAGTGACACACACACAGTGACACACACAGTGACACACACACAGTTACACACACAGTGACACACACACAGTGACACACAGTGACACACACAGTGACACACACACACACAGTGACACACACAGTGACACACACACAGTGACACACACACAGTGACACACACAGTGACACACACACAGTGACACACACAGTGACACACACACAGTGACACACACACACAGTGACACACACACAGTGACACACACAGTGACACACACACAGTGACACACACACACAGTGACACACAACACACAGTGACACACACAGGACACACACAACACACAGTGACACACACACAGTGACACACACACAGTGACACACACACAATGACACACACACACAGTGACACACACACAGTGACACACACAGTGACACACACACACACACACAGTGACACACACAGTGACACACACACACACAGAGTGACACACACAATGACACACACCACACACACACAGTGACACACACAGTGACACACACAGTGACACACAGTGACACAGTGACACACACACAGTGACACACACACAGTGACACACACACAGTGACACACACAGTGACACACACAATGACACACACACACACAGTGACACACAAACACAGTGACACACACAGTGACACACACACAGTGACACACACACACAGTGACACACACAGTGACACAGTGACACACACACACAGTGACACACACCAGTGACACAGTGAACACACACACAGTGACACACACACAGTGACACACACACACAGTGACACACACACCAGTGACACACACAGTGACACACACACAGTGACACACACAGTGACACACACACAGTGACACACACAGTGACACACACACAGTGACACACACAGTGACACACACACAGTGACACACACAGTGACACACACACACTGATACACACACAGTGACACACACAGTGACACACACACAGTGACACACACACAGTGACACACACAGTGACACACACAGTGACACACACACAGTGACACACAGTGACACACACACAGTGACATACACAGTGACACACACAGTGACACACACACACAGTGACACACACAGACAGTGACACACACACACAGTGACACACACAGTGACACACACACAGTGACACATACACACAGTGACACACACACAGTGACAACACAGTGACACACACAGTGACACACACACAGTGACACACACACACAGTGACACACACAGTGACACACACACAGTAACACACACACAGTGACACACACAGTGACACACACAGTGACACACACAGTGACACACACACAGTGACACACACACACAGTGACACACACAGTGACACACACAGTGACAACACACACACAGTGACACACACACACAGTGACACACACACAGTGACACACACACAGTGACACACACAGTGACACACACACAGTGACACACACAGTGACACACACACAGTGACACACACACACAGTGACACACACACACAGTGACACACACACACAGTGACACACACAGTGACACACACAGTGACACACACACACAGTCACACACACACAGTGACACACACACAGTGACACACACAGTGACACACACACAGTGACACACACACACAGTGACACACACACACAGTGACACACACACACAGTGACACACACAGTGACACAGACACAGTGACACACACAGTGACACACACACAGTGACACACACACACAGTGACACACACACACAGTGACACACACAGTGACACAGACACAGTGACACACACAGTGACACACACACAGTGACACACACACAGTGACACACACACACAGTGACACACACACAGAGTGACACACACACAGTGACACACACACAGTGACACACAGACACACAGTGACACACACAGTGACACACACACAGTGACACACACACACAGACACACACACAATGCGTGTGTGTATGTGTGTGTCTGTGTGTGTGTGTATGTGTGTGTGTCTGTGTGTGTGTGTGTGTCTGTGTGTGTGTGTATGTGTGTGTGTGTCTGTGTGTGTGTGTCTGTGTGTGTGTGTGTCTGTGTGTGTGTGTCACTGTGTGTGTGTCTGTGTGTGTGTCTGTGTGTGTGTGTGTCTGTTGTGTGTGTCACTGTGTGTGTGTCTGTGTGTGTGTCTGTGTGTGTGTCTGTGTGTGTGTGTCTGTGTGTGTGTCTGTGTGTGTGTGTGTCTGTGTGTGTGTCTGTGTGTGTGTCACTGTGTGTGTGTGTCACTGTGTGTGTGTGTCACTGTGTGTGTGTGTGTCACTGTGTGTGTGTGTGTCACTGTGTGTGTGTGTGTCACTGTGTGTGTCACTGTGTGTGTGTGTCACTGTGTGTGTGTGTCACTGTGTGTGTTTGTCACTGTGTGTGTGTGTGTCACTGTGTGTGTCACTGTGTGTGTGTGTGTCACTGTGTGTGTGTGTGTCACTGTGTGTGTGTGTGTCACTGTGTGTGTGTCTGTGTCTGTGTGTGTGTCTGTATATGTGTGTGTGTGTCTGTGTGTGTGTCTGTGTGAGTGGCTGGCTGAGGTTCCAGCTGTTGAGGAAGTACTGAGGGCGATCCGGAGTCTGAGACCAGGGAAGGCACCGGGCAGAGATGATCTCCCAAGCGAAATGCTGAGGGAGGGTGGCGTTTGTGCACAGACTGCCCTATATGACATCATAACAACAGTCTGGACCACTGGACGGGTTCCGCAGGACTGGAAGGATGCCCTGGTGGTCCCCCTCTTTAAGAAGGGGGACCGCACAGACTGTAACAACTACAGGGGCATCTCACTCCTCAGTGTGCCGGGTAAGGTCCTGGCAAGGATTATTCAACATCGCCTTGCTAGGCACGCTGAGGAGGGGCTTGCGGAGCCCCAATGCGGTTTCAGGAAAGGGCGGGTCCTGCACAGATGCCATATTTTCTGTCCGTCTGCTACAGCAGAGGTGTAGGGAATTCCAAAAAGACCTACATCTCTGCTTTATTGACCTGGTCAAGGCCTATGATACCATCAGTAGGACTGGACTCTGGGTTGTTCTTCGTGCTTTCGGAGTCCCTGACCCTCTGCTCACGATCATTAAGGACCTTCATGATGGTGAGCGGGCCCGGGTAAAACTACGTGGCCGGGAGTCGGAGCCTTTCCCTGTACACCTTGGGGTGCGACAGGGATGTCCTCTGGCTCCCACATTATTTAACATCTATTTTGACCGCGTAGTTCGTGAAGCCTTCAATAGCTGTACCGGGGGAATTTCCGTTTGGTACAGATATAATGGGAGGCTGATCGACGCCCGGGTGCGATCAAGGGATGGCTCCCTATTGGTCAACCACGTTATGTATGCCGATGATTTGGTAATAGCTGCTCATTCAGAAGAGGAGTTGGAGGCGCTGCTGCTGAGACTGGAGCGTGCCACTAAGAGGTGGGGCCTTACCATCAGCCCCACCAAAACCAAGCACCTGCCTGGGTATTTTGTACCATCGGACACTCCACCCCCACAACTCCCAATTGGTGATGGGGCAGTTGTGGAGAGAGTGGAGAGTTTCCCATACCTGGGCAGTGTGCTTATGACCGGCTCCAGTCTATCAGCAGAGGTCTCACTCCGAATCAGTCGAGCGGCAATATCTTTTCATCGGTTGCGTAACGCTGTGTGGAAGCTACCTGGTCTGTCGCTCCGCACGAAGCTTCAGGTCTTCTCGGCCACGGTCATTCCCTCCCTTCTCTACGCTTGCGAGACGTGGACCCCCCTGGTGGAGCATCTTCGCCGGTTGGAAACATTTAGGCTGGCCTGCCTACGATCCATCCTGGGTTTAACCAGGCTGGATTGTGTGAGGAGCTCACAAATCCTTGAAAGATCTGGGCAAAGTCCCATCAGTGAGCTCCTCCGGCAGGCAAGGCTGCGTTGGCTGGGTCATGTAGCCCGCATGCCCAGCCACCGCATGCCTAAACAGCTTTTGTTCGGCCGGATCGAGGGGGCTAGACGGGCGCGGCACGGGCTGGAGAAGAGATGGAGTGATGTGGTACAGGAGGACGTGGAGCTGAGTGGACTTGCCGATGACTGGTACCAGCGGTGTCAAGATCGGCCTCAGTGGAGGAGGCTCGTGAAGGACGCTACTGGGCAGTTGGAGGCAGTCGCCCTCCAACAACAACGGAGGGCGGAGGAGCGACGCTCACAACAACGAGCGGAGCGCCGGGTGGCTAAAGCACAGCAAGTTGGCACAGTAGGGGGCACAGGTGGTGCATCAGCCAGTCATCTCGGTCATCTCGGTCAGTCGACCAGTGGCACCTGGGTCTGCCCCGTGACCTCCTGCCAGCGGGCTTTCGACACTTCACGTGGCCTCAAGGTGCACTTGGCCTGGCACAAGCATCGTGGTGACGTCACCGCCACTTAGTGGCGAATGGCGGTTGTTGTTGTTGTTGTGTCTGTGTGTGTGTCTGTGTGTGTGTGTCACTGTGTGTGTGTGTGTCACTGTGTGTGTGTGTGTCACTGTGTGTGTGTCACTGTGTGTGTCACTGTGTGTGTCACTGTGTGTGTGTGTCACTGTGTGTGTGTGTGTCACTGTGTGTGTGTCACTGTGTGTGTGTGTGTCACTGTGTGTGTGTCACTGTGTGTGTGTGTGTCACTGTGTGTGTGTCACTGTGTGTGTGTGTGTCACTGTGTGTGTGTGTGTCACTGTGTGTGTGTGTGTCACTGTGTGTGTCACTGTGTGTGTGTGTCACTGTGTGTGTCACTGTGTGTGTGTGTGTCACTGTGTGTGTGTGTGTCACTGTGTGTGTGTCACTGTGTGTGTGTGTGTCACTGTGTGTGTGTCACTGTGTGTGTGTGTCACTGTGTGTGTTACTGTGTGTGTGTGTGTCACTGTGTGTGTCACTGTGTGTGTGTGTGTCACTGTGTGTGTCACTGTGTGTGTCACTGTGTGTGTGTGTCACTGTGTGTGTGTCACTGTGTGTGTCACTGTGTGTGTCACTGTGTGTGTGTCTGTGTGTCACCTTGGGAGTCTTGAGCACTGCTTGCCTCCTCTGTTTCTCCTGCGCTGAGCTGCCGAGCTCATGACCCTGGACACATCATCATCAGCAGCATCATCATCATCAGCATCATCAGCATCATCAGCATCAGCAGCATCATCAGCATCATCATCATCATCAGCAGCATCATCAGCATCATCATCATCATCAGCATCATCAGCATCATCATCATCATCAGCAGCAGCAGCAGCATCATCATCAGCGGCATCAGCAGCAGCAGCATCATCATCAGCAGCAGCATCATCAGCATCAGCATCATCAGCATCATCATCATCAGCATCATCATCATCAGCATCAGCAGCATCATCAGCAATATCATCATCAGCATCATCAGCATCATCATCATCAGCAGCATCATCAGCATCATCATCATCATCAGCAGCATCATCATCATCAGCAGCATCATCAGCATCATCATCAGCAGCATCATCAGCAGCAGCATCATCAGCAGCATCATCAGCAGCAGCATCATCATCAGCAGCAGCAGCATCATCATCAGCATCATCATCAGCAGCACCATCAGCATCATCATCAGCAGCACCATCATCAGAAGCATCATCAGCATCATCATCAGCATCATCATCAGCAGCATCACCATCAGCAGCAGCAGCAGCATCATCATCAGCATCATCATCAGCATCACCATCAGCATCATCATCATCAGCATCATCATCAGCAGCACCATCAGCATCATCATCATCATCAGCATCATCATCATCAGCAGCAGCAGCAGCAGCATCATCATCATCAGCATCATCATCATCAGCATCATCATCAGCATCAGCATCAGCAGCATCATCAGCATCATCATCAGCATCATCAGCATCATCATCATCAGCAGCATCAGCAGCATCATCATCATCATCAGCAGCATCATCAGCATCATCATCATCAGCAGCATCATCAGCATCATCATCAGCAGCATCATCAGCAGCAGCATCATCAGCAGCATCATCAGCAGCAGCATCATCATCAGCAGCAGCAGCATCATCGTCAGTACCATCATCATCAGCAGCATCATCGTCAGTACCATCATCATCAGCATCATCAGCAGCAGCATCATCAGCATCATCATCAGCATCATCATCAGCAGCATCACCATCAGCAGCAGCAGCATCATCATCAGCATCATCATCAGCATCACCATCAGCATCATCATCATCAGCATCATCATCAGCAGCACCATCAGCATCATCATCATCATCAGCATCATCATCATCATCAGCAGCAGCAGCAGCATCATCATCATCATCAGCATCATCATCAGCATCATCATCATCAGCATCATCATCAGCAGCACCATCAGCATCATCATCAGCAGCATCATCATCAGCATCATCATCAGCAGCACCATCAGCATCATCATCAGCATCATCATCATCAGCATCATCATCATCAGCAGCAGCATCATCATCAGCATCATCAGCATCATCATCAGCATCATCATCAGCAGCATCATCATCATCATCAGCAGCATCATCATCATCATCAGCATCATCATCAGCATCATCATCATCAGCAGCAGCAGCAGCAGCAGCATCATCATCAGCATCATCAGCATCATCATCAGCATCATCATCAGCAGCATCATCATCATCATCAGCAGCATCATCATCATCAGCAGCATCATCATCATCATCAGCATCATCATCAGCATCATCATCATCAGCAGCAGCATCATCATCAGCATCATCAGCATCATCATCATCATCAGCAGGAGCAGGAGGATCAAAATGTTACGACGACAACGATGACCACACGGCAGGAAAACTCATAAAGGTGGACGAGGAGTTTGGAGGAGGTGGACGAGTAGGAGGTGGACGAGGAGGAGTAGGAGGAGGTGGAGTAGGTGGAGTAGGAGGAGTGGGTGGACGAGGAGGAGGTGGATGAGGAGGAGTGGGTGGAGGTGGTGGACGAGGTGGAGTAGGAGTGGGAGGAGGTGGACGAGGTGGAGGTGGAGTAGGAGTGGGTGGACGAGGTGGAGGTGGAGTAGGAGTGGGTGGACGAGGAGGAGGTGGATGAGGAGGTGGATGAGGTGGTGGAGTAGGAGGTGGAGTAGGAGGAGTGGGTGGAGGTGGAGGAGGTGGACGAGGTGGAGGAGGAGTAGGAGGAGGTGGACGAGGAGGTTGACGAGGTGGAGGTGGAGTAGGAGGTGGAGTAGGAGGTGGAGTAGGAGGTGGATGAGGTGGTGGAGTAGGTGGACGAGGTGGACGAGGTGGAGGTCCCAATACTCACCGGCTGCGTGGGGTTCGAGGTGGACGAAGAGGTGGAGTAGGTGGAGTGGGTGGACGAGGAGGAGGTGGACAAGGAGGTGGACGCCCGGGGCGAGCTGACGAGGCGTAGGGAGAGACGTCGACCCCAAAGAGTCGTCCACAGCCCGGACCTCACCATCGTCGCCAGAGACCTGGGGTCAGGGATCAGGGGTCACGGGACCTGGGGTCACGGGACCTGGGGTCACGGGACCTGGGGTCACGGGACCTGGGGTCAAGAATCTGGGGTCACAGAATCTGGGGTCACGGAACCTGGGGTGAGGGAATCTGGGGTCAATGATCTGGGGTCACGGAATCTGGGGTCACGGAACCTGGGGTCACGGAACCTGGGGTCATGGAACCTGGGGTCAGGAAACCTGGGGTCAGGAAACCTGGGGTCATGGGACCTGGGGTCACGGATCTGGGGTCAGGGAACTTGGGGTCAGCGAACCTGGGGTCACGGAACCTGGGGTCACGGAACCTGGGGTCACGGAACCTGGGGTCACGGAACCTGGGGTCACGGAACCTGGGGTCAGGGATCTGGGGTCAGGGATCTGGGGTCAGGGAACCTGGGGTCAATGATCTGGGGTCACAGAACCTGGGGTCAATGATCTGGGGTCAGGGATCTGGGGTCAGGGATCTGGGATTAGGGACCTGGGATTAGGGACCTGGGATTAGGGGTCTGGGATTAGAGACCCGGGATTAGGGACCTGGGATTAGGGGTCTGGGATTAGAGACCTGGGATTAGGGGTCTGGGATTAGGGGTCTGGGATTAGGGACCTGGGATTAGGGGTCTGGGATTAGAGACCTGGGATTAGGGGTCTGGGATTAGAGACCTGGGATTAGAGACCTGGGATTAGGGGTCTGGGATTAGAGACCTGGGATTAGGGGTCTGGGATTAGAGACCTGGGATTAGGGACCTGGGATTGGAGACCTGGGATTAGGGACCTGGGATTAGGGGTCTGGGATTAGAGATCTGGGATTAGGGGTCTGGGATTAGAGATCTGGGATTAGGGACCTGGGATTAGAGACCTGGGATTAGGGACCTGGGATTAGGGACCTGGGATTAGAGACCTGGGATTAGAGACCTGGGATTAGAGACCTGGGATTAGAGACCTGGGGTCAGGGATCTGGGGTTAGGGCATCTGCACTGACAACTCATATCTTAATAGCTGCTACTGGTTGTTGTTGTTGTTGTTGCTGTTGTTGTTGCTGCTGCTGCTGTTGTTGCTGCTGTTGTTGTTGTTGTACAGTTTGTTGACCTCCGATTAGCCACTGGTTGCCTACGTAGAGTGGTGCCAAAGTAGTTGAACACAATTCTAGATTTGAAGCTTTCGTGACTGCAAGGATTCATGCTCTTAGTTTTTTCGGTAAAGTCACGTAGGTAAAAAAATTTTTTTAATTAAAATTTATAAAAATAAAATAATAAAAATCACGACGAGGTAGACGAAACGTCGTGATTTTTATTATTTTATTTTTTATCAATTTTCATTTCATTTTTTTTTACCTACGTGACTTTACCGAAAAAACTAACAGTATAGTTCAACACACACACAAACTACGATACACTACACTATACACTACAAAACTATACACTACAAAACTATACACTACACTATACACTACATAACACTGCAATAAAACTACAGAGCCAGGTGCTATG